TATCGGTTGTTATTGTGAAAATCTTATCACGCAATTCCCACTCATCCAACAACGAAAGAATAGCATCACCGATGTTTTCAGCAGTATGAGGATAACGGATATGCTCGATGGAAAGCGTGATTTCGTGAAATTGAAACTCATGATCAAGGTAAGAACATGTTATGCCTAGAAAACCTTGTTTATTTTTCCCGGTCCAAAGATCACAAGTTAAAGATACAAAAGTCGAGTCATTTTTTACTTTTTCCATGGTTAATTTTAAAGAATGGTTATAAGAAATATGTACAAGTTTCTTTATGGATTTGATACATGGAATTTTAAACTTTGGATCTAACTCGCTTATGAATTTTTTAAAAGCTGGGTTTTCAAGAACAGTAAGAGGTTGTGAATCAGTTATTATCCAGTTCACAAGGTATTGATACAATTGAAGCTGACGTGACTCATCATGAGGCAAATTAACCAACTCTGTAACATTTTTATCTTTAGCTTGATCTTCGGTAATCCCATGAACGTTTGTTAAGTGAGTAGAGCAGTTACTCGTTGATGTGTTAACTTTATATTTTATACCGCATTTTTTTCCTTTTACAAGTTCAACTTTACAAACAGCATGTCTTACATTATCGATATACACTGGATCAAAGTACAACCAAATCCAACTTCTGATATTACTACCACCACGGGTATCACCGACTTTTGTCTTTTTATTAAAGGTTTTATCAGGTATTTTTGTTGATACATCAACATCATCCATATCACGAACAGACATTTTTTTCAGTAAAAATGAAACGTTGGTACAATTCTATTTTATTTCTTAAATCGTTGTTTACCAAATCAAGTAAAGCCAATAAGAAAAAATATTTAGAGTATTACAAACAGATTCAGTAGTTGATCGACAATTCACATATAATTCGTACAGTCCCAACAGTTAACAGTTAACTGCAATTCGTATAGTTTGAACAGTTGATCTGCAACATGCATACGGATTGGACAGTTTACACAAAAATTATACGGATAATACGGATTATACAAAAAATACGGATTTTAAATAGTTATCCGGATTGTCGATCAACGGATCACACCTCTAACATGCATACAACGATTTTGTAATTTGATTGATCTATTATGCCGAGATAACTTAACCGGATCAGCCGAAAAATCATCCGATAATATCAGTAAAATAAATCATAAATATCTAACCTGATATAAACTTTACCCTTCTCTTCTTGTATGTTATAATACTTGCAGTGATTTGAGAAAAAAAGCCAATAAATAGGAAACATTCAGAAATTTTTCCGGCGGGTGACCCGGGTGACACCTACCTGGGTCGGAACACTGCAAATGATTAAACTCAAGATATATGTACCTGGGTCGGAACACTGCAAATGATTAAACTCAAGATATATGTAAAAATGGGTTCTTTTAATTGAGAACACTTCATATACAGTAAGACCTCTCTAAGTGCACCCTCTATAAGTGCACGTATTATGTAAATTCTCTCTAAATGCACGGTTTAACTTGGCCTCAACTTATAAGAGCATTATATATTTTGCTCTATAAATGCACTCTCTCTTTAAGTGCACGTTTTGCTTTT